CAAAAAAAAAAAAAAAAGATTCTCTGTCTTTAAATTTTTGTATTTTAATTATGATATGTCTTGGTGTGAGTCTCTTTGGGTTCATCTTGTTTGGGACTCTCTGTGCTTCCTGGGCTTGTATGTCTATTTCCTTCACCAGGTTAGTGAAGTTTCTGTCATTATTTTTTCAAATAGGTTTTCAATTTCTTGCTTTCTCTTCTCCTTCTGGCACTCTCATGATGCAAATGTTAGCACACTTAAAGTTGTCCCAGAGGATCCCTGCACTATCCTCATTTCTTGGATTCTTTTTGTTTTGACTCGGTGTTTTTTGCTTCCTTATTTTCCATATTGCTGATTTGATTCTTGGCTCCATCTACTCTACTGTTCATTCCCTATACATTATTCTTCATTTCAGTTAGTGTATCCTTTATTCCTGACTGGTTCTATTTTATGCTGTTGAGGTTCTCACTAAATTCACTGAGAATCCTTATAACCAGTGTTTTGAACTCTGCACCTAGTAAGTTGCTTAGCTCCATTGTGTTATCTTTCTAGTGTTTTGTTCTGTTCTTTCATTTGGGATGTTTCTTTGTCTCATTTTGGCAGCCTCCTTGTGTTTGTTTCTATGTATTAGGTAGAGCTGCTACATCTCTCAGGCTTGGTAAAGTGGTCTTATGTAGTAGGTGTTCTGTAGGGTCCAGTGGCACAGCCTTCCTGATCAACCGAGCTGGACACTCCAGGTGCGCCCCGTGTGGGCTGTGTACCCTCCTCTTATAGTTGAGCCTTTTTTGCTTTTGGCACATCAATGGGAGGGATTTACACCAAGGCTGATCAGCTGAAAGGACTGGCTGTGACTACCGATCTCCGAACATCTTGAAGAATCAACAGTACAGGGGTCCACCCCACAGAGCAGGACTTACTTCAGTGGGGCTCTGGTGCCTGCTGAGTCTGCCCCTTGAATGTGTTGCTTATGGAAGCAGTTGGGTGGTGCTCTGGTGTGGTTTGGAGCTGTCGACTGTGTGTGCTGGCCCTGGGGCCTCCCGAGAGGTCCTGGTTAAGGTCAGCCACCGCCTATGCTCTGCCCAGGGTCACCCAGCATAAGGTACAAGATGATCTACAGATGACTGCTACTTGTATGGGGTTTGGCAGTACCAAGGCAAGGCAAGCTGCAAACTAAGACTGGCTGCTGCTAGTGGCCTGGGGCCACTTAGCGAGAGGTATGATGTACACTCAGGCCAGATACTGCTTGTTTGAGAGATTTTAGGAAAATCTGAAGCATGAGCTGCGTCAGGCCATTCAAATGGAAAAGCCACTGGAGACAGCTTGGGTAGCTCTGAAAGTTGGATGGGGTTGGCCTCAGGAAATCACCAGGGCAGGGCAAATGGTGTGAGCATGGTTGATGGAGTCTTAGATATGGTGCCCGACTGCTGGCTCTGTGCGAGGAGAGCTCATCAAAGGAACAATGGTCTCTGCCAACACTTCTGTCTGGGAGAAAGCTGTTCCCCTCAGCTCTTGCCCTGATGTCTGACAATTCAGCACCTCCTCATATGTCCTTGGTGCCTTTCAAGCTGCTGCCCCAGCAATGAAGCTCAGAGGGAATAAGTCTGACTAAGTCTGTGCACAGGTATTTTTAAGAGGAACTGCCTGCATTCCAGCAGCCCTCCGTCTCTCTCAACCACAATCCCTGCTGGTTTTTACAGCCAGAAGTTATGGGGACTTTCCTTCCTGACACTGGAACCCTGGGTTGGGAGGCCTGGTGTGAGGCTGGGACCCCTCACTCCTTAGTGGGGACCTCTGCAGCCAAGATATCCCTCCTGATGTTTATCCACACATGTGGGTGTGGGACCAGCCTGTTCTGCATCTCACCCCTCCTACTGGTCTCGACGTGGCTCCTTTAATTCCCTAGTTGTAGGACTTCCATTCAACCAGATTTCAGGTGGTTCTGAATCATGGTTGTTCTGTAGTTCAGTTGCAATTTTGATGTGGTTGTGGAAGGAGGTGAGTAGCACATTTACCTATGCTGGCATCTTGACAGGTACTTAGATCTTGCTTTTTTTTTAAATTGAATTTATTAGGGTGACACTGCTTAACAAAATTATATAGGCTTCAGGTGCACAATTCCACAATACATCATCTGTACAATGTATTGTGTGTTCACCACCTCAAGTTAAGTCTCTATTCATCACCATTTTTCCTCCCTCGATCCTCTTCTACCTCACCCACCCCCACTCTGTACTCCTTATATCTTATTATATGTATTGTTGGACCCAAGTGCAGCACTCTAGTTTATTCCTTACAATATTCATTTTGTTAGACTTAGTCCAAATCTTTTCAGCCCGTGAAAATCTCTTGTTTTTGATTCTATGACTTCCTGTATTCACTATGCCTCCCAGTTTACAGTCAAGTAGAAACTTGATATATTTCCTTATTACAACTTCAGTGAGTCATTTATGAAAAGAACAACAGAAAGCTGAGGGAGCCCTGCAGTATACCACTGGGAACCTCTTTCTGGTATGATACAAATTCATAACTTTTGGGTGTTCTCACCCATTACTCCCTTATAACTTTATCACCTATGTAGCGTCATGTAAATACTACCACATTCAAGATACAGAGCTGTTTCAAAGTTACAGGTCTCCAATGTTACATCCTGTTATTAATGTATACCAAAGAAGCACATCTATTATATATAACAAAGTTGTTTTAATATTTTATTAATTATATTTCAATATAATTGGTTTCTTTTATAATCCTATGTATTCTATGATTCAAAAACATTCTGAGGTGGGTTCAACAGGATTCACCAGACTGCCATGAGAACTCAAGACTTGGACAAAGTAGAGCCCATGTTGTGGAAGGAATTCAGGTAACAGGTTTGTGTTAGACCTGATGACCTTTATTTTTTTATTTTTTTATCCTCACCCGAGGACATTTTTTCCATTTTTTCCTCAGATAGAGCGGGAAGGAGAGAGAGGAAGAGAGAGAAACATTGATGTGAAAGGGACACATCGAGTGGCCGCCACCCACACGACCCAACCAGGGCCGGGGACAAACCGCAGCCAAGGTACATGCCCTCAGCGGGAACCGAACCTGGGTCTCTGTGGACCGCAGGCTGACGCTCTAACCGCTGAGCCAAACCGGCCAGGGCAGACCTGATGACCTTTAAAGTTTCCTCTCATCCTGGATTAGAAAACAAGCATAGTTTTATATAGCATAGAATATCTCTTAATTATCTTCTCCTTAATTAACTCACTGGTGTCATGGATACTCTTTTTCCCCTCTACAAATCGTTCTAACTGATGTGGTAGCACACTGTATAGTTGTAGCTAACAGGCTACAGGAGTGTCCACTCCACCTGTAGAGTTACTTACCATGGGTCAGGTGTGTCGACAGTCCTAACCACTGAGCCAAATTGGCCAGGGCAGTTTTGTTTATATTTAAGTGTTCTGCTCTTCATTAAGGTACATGAACTTAAAGTAAAGAAGAGCAGTAGTTCATTATCTGGGTTCAAAATTTTTCCTTATCCTATATAACAATACTTCTTTTTTTTAATTGATTTTATTTTTAAAATATTTTTTGTTTATTGATTTGAGAGAGAGAGGAAAGGAGAGGGAGAGAGAGAGAAACATCGATGAGAGAGAACATAGATTGGCTGCCTCCTGCATGACCCCCACTGGGGATTGGGCCCACAAACTGGGCATGTGCCCTGACCGGGAATTGAACCAGTGACCTCTTAGTGCATGGGTCGACGCTCAACCACTGAGGCACACCGGCCGGGAACAATACTTATTTCAGTGATTTTTAAACCCTTTTCCTGAACAAAAGAGTGAACTCATACTCCTATCCTATAGATAGGAACACATAAATCTTATGTACCATTTTTCAAATGTATGTAATTTTGTCATGACAGTCTATAATTTATTTGTTTTTGTTTCAATATTAAAAAGTTTTTTCACAGCCCTGGCCAGTTTGGCTCACTGATTAGAGCATTGGCCCGTGGACCAGAGAGACCTGGGTTCGGTTCCCACTAAGGGCACGTACGTCAGATGCAGTTTGTCCCGGCCCTGGTTGGGGTTGTGTGGGTGGCAACCAGTTGATGTGTCTCTCTCATATCAATGTTTCTCTCTCTCTCTCTTTCTCCCTCTTGCTCTATCTAAGGATAAATGCAAAAATGTCCTTGGGTGAGGATTAAAAAAAAGTCTTTTCACAGACCTTTCTGTATACTACTGTGCAACCTTGAAGAGAAACTTGGATTCAATCTATTCAATACAATTTCAATTCCAATTTGCGTTAAGTGAAAGAGAAACTAAATTTCAATTTCTTAGAGACATTTTTTGTAAGACTGGGCAATATCATATATGAACCAATAAGGACAGAGGGAAATCTAACAAACATCCAAGGAGAAAAGGCAAAAGGCATGGGGACAAAAATTAAATCTTGCACTAACCCAGCTGTCCACTCCTATTTCACTCACATCCAATACCTATCAAATTCTAAGATTATTCCTTACAGCTGGGGCTGGGTCTTTTTCCCATCTAAGTACTAACCAGGCCCAACCCTGTTTAGCTTCCAAGATCAGATAAGATCGAGTGGGTTCAGGGTGGTATGGCTGTAGACGGCGCTGGGTCTTTTTCACTTGTTATAACCCTAGCACTCACTATAGTACCTGGCACACAGTAGGAATTCTATGAATTATATGAGTATTAGTAGCTAACTCACTGCCAGGCACTGTTTGAAGAACCTGACATATATTAACTCATTTAATCCTCACAAACATCCTTATGTGAAAACCCTTAATATTTCATTTTACAAAAGAGGAAACTGAGGCCCAAAGAGTTTAAGTAAATTGCCCAAAGTCACGTGGTCAAAAAGGGGCAGAGCTGGCATTCAAACCCAGCCAATTCAGCTCCAGGGTCTGAGCTCTTAACCACTATGCTCTTATGTTTGTTGAATAAGTGAATGAGTAAATAATTTGTAAGAAATGAAAAGCAAATGTTTTAAACCAGAAGACTTTAGCTCCTTACAGTGCAGTTTGTTGCTTCGGCTGTTGAGTGGTTCTGGTCCATTCACATCTTTACTCTTTTCATTATCCTCAATGGGTCGGAAATGAGCCAAAGTTCTCATGAATCCACGAAAGTTTACTTGGTCCTCTCTAATTGGGAAATATAACAAATAGAACACCATGTCAATCAAGGTGATTATTTCTTATGAATTCAATATATTGACAATAGTTTTAGCTCAAATGGTATGAAAGTTCATTCAATGAGATCTCTTTCCATATGCACAGTACTTTAGTGCTTCATTTAAGCCTCACTCCAACCTTGTGAGATAGGTATTATTATTATTATTATATTTTATTTTTTAAATCTTCACCTGAGGATACTTTTTCCATTGATTTTTAGAGAGAGCAGAAGGGAGGGAGGGACAGGTATAAAGAAAAGGGGAGGGGAAACAGGGGAGGAGAGAGAGAGAAACACTGATGAGAGAGAGATACACTGATTGATTGCCTCCCGCACGCACCCCAACTGGGGCCAGGGATTGAACCTGCAACCCCCATGTGGCCTCCTTGACCGGAAATTGAACCTGAGATCTTTTGGTGCCGACACTCTAACCACTTACCCACACCAGCCAAAGCAGTGAGGTAGGTACTATTATTCACACTTTATAAGTGATTAACCAGGGTCAGAGTGACCTACTAATTTATTTCTCTCTCTTTTCCCAGAGAGGATTTTGAGTAGCTTCAGGGCTATGCTGTCAGGCAAAGTAGGGTTTAAACTCACTGCTTTGGACACTGCAGCAAGTAGCAAGATGGTCATTTCAACTCAATGACCCCAACAACCTCACATGTGTTCCCTGCAGTCGCATACACCTGGTAACATTTTAAGGTTAAGGCATACTATGAAAAAGCTGCTGTAAAACTAAAGTTTATTTAGTTATGAAAGCAATAAATACATTTTTGGAAAATTTTGGGGAAAAAGTAGAAAGAAAAAACCATTCCTAGTTCTACCAATCAATTATAATTATCATTAATAAATTTTCTTCCAGTAATTTTTCTATGCTGTTTGGATAATTGTGAACATGTTGCACATGTGATTTTGAATCCTGCTTTTTATTTATTTAAATTAAAATTTTATTTTTCAATTACAGTTGACATTCTATATCATTATTATAATCATTGTATTTTTTTTTTATCCTCACCAAAGGATATTTTTGCATTTATCTACAGATAGAGTGGGAGAGAGGGAGGGAGGAAGAGAGAAAGAGAAACATCGACATGAGAGAGACATCGATTAGTTGTCACCTACACAACCCCAACCAGGGCCAGGGGCAAACTGCAACTGAGGTACGTGCCCTTAGGGGGAATAGAACTTGGGACTCCCTGGGCCAACACTCTAACTGCTGAGCCAAACCGGCCAGGGCCATTCAATATTATTTTGTATTAGTTTCAAGTGTATAGCATAGTGGTTAGACAATTATATACTTTACAAAGTGTACCCCCGATATTTAAAGTACCCACCTGGCACCATAGTGTGGGGCAAAAGTAACTTTATAGTTCACATAAATACAATAATTAATAAATAATAATACAAGAATAAACTATTTTGTGTACTCACATCTGTAAACCTACTTTTGCCTCACCCTGTAGTTATTACAATATTATTGACTATATCCCCTATGCTGTACTTTACATCCCCATGACTATTTTGTAACTACCATTTTGTACTTCTGATTCTTTTGTTTATCTCATCCTGCCCTCCCTCCCCTCTTCCCTTTGAGGTTCATCAGTCTAACAACCAATTTGTACTCTTTTTTTTTTTTAAATACTCACCCGAAGATATTTTTGCATTTTTGTTCAGATAGAGTGGGAGGGAGGAAGAGAGAAACACCAATATGAGAGAGACACATTGACAGGTTGCCTGCCGCACAACCCTGACCAGTGCTGGGGACAAACTGAAACCAAGGTACGTGCCCTTGACCAAATTGAACCCTCAGACTCATTCATCTGCAGGCCAACACTCTTAACCACTGAGCCAAACCGGCCAGGGCCAATTTGTACTTTTTAATTCCTTCATCTTTTTCACCCATTCCCTCAGTTCCCATCCATATGGCAAGCAACAAAAAGTTCTCTGTATCTGAGTCTATTTCTGTTCTGCTTGCTCATTTTGTTTGTAGATTCAATTGTTAATAGATATGTATCGTTTGCCATTTTATTGCTCATATTTTTGTTCTTCTCCTTCAAGAAGACCCTTCAACTTTTCATATAATACTGGTTTGGTTGTGGTGAACTCCTTTAGCTTTTTCTTGTCTGGGAAACTCTTCATATGTCCATCAATTCTACATGATAGCTTTGCAGGATAGAGTAATCTTGGTTGTAGGTGGTTGCTTTCCACCACCTTGAATATCTCTTGCCACTCCTTTCAGGCCTGCAAAGTTTCTTTTGAGAAATCAGCTGACAGTCTTATGGGAGCTCCTTTGTAGGTATCGAATTGCTTTTCTCTTGCTACTTTTAATATTCTCTCTTTGTGTTTAACCTTTGGCATTTTGATGATGATGTATCTTGGTGTGACCTCTTTGGGTTCATCTTGATTGGGACTCTCTGTGCTTCCTGGACTTGTATGTCTGTCTCCTTCACCAAATTAAGGAAGTTTTCTGTCATTATTTTAATGTTGGCATGGATGAAGTTGTCCCAGAGGCACCTTACACTACCCTCATTTTATTTGAATTCTTTTTAATTTTTGCTGTTCTGATTGGGTGTTTTATGCTTCCCGATATTCCAAATGAATTTTTTGCTTCTTGGCATTACCTACTCTACTGTTGATTCCCTGTAAATTACTTATTTATTTTATCCTCACCCGAGGACATTTTTCCATTTTTTTTGTTCAGATAGAGTGGGAGGGAGAGAGAGAGGAAGAGACAGAGAGAGAAAGAAACAGACGTGAAAGGGACACATCAAGAGGCTGCCACCCGCACGACCCAACCAGGGCCGGGGACAAACTGCAACCGAGGTACGTGCCCTTAGCGGGAACCGAACCTGGGTCTTTCGGGACCGCAGGCCGACGCTCTAACCGCTGAGCCAAACTGGCCAGGGCTGTAAATTATTCTTTATTTCAGTTAGTGCATCCTTCATTTCTGACTAGTCTTTTTTTTATGTTGTTAATGTTCTCACTAAGTTACCTGGAGGTCTTCTTAAGTTCCTTGAAGTTCTAAGTTCCTCGAATGTCTCACTAAATTCCTTGAGCATCCTTATAACCATCTGATTGCTTATCTCCATTTTCTTTAGTTCTTTTCCTGGAGTTTTGTTCTGTTCGTTCGTTCTCTCTCTCTCTCTCTCTCTCTTTCTTCCTGGAGTTCTGTTCTTTCTTTCTTTCTTTCTTTCGTTCTTTCTTTCTTTCTTTCTTTCTTTCTTTCTTTCTTTCTTTTTTATGAATTTTTATTTATTTTTGTTACAGATATTTTACCTTTTTACCCCATTGGCATCCTCCCACCCCACCCCACCTCCGCCCCGTCCCCGGCTTAGTTGTCCATGTCCATTGGTCATGCATACATGCATATAAGTTCTGTGGTTTATCTCTTCCCACCCCCTCACCCCCTCTTCTGAGGGATGTCAGTCTGTGCCCTACTTCCATGTTTCTGGGTCTACTGTATTCCTCAGACTGTTATGTTCATTATATTCCGTATATAAGTGAGATCATGTGGTATTTGTCTTTTTCTGCTTGGCTTCTTTCACTTAGGATAATACTTTCCAGGTCCCTCCATGTCGTCTCAAAGGATAAGAGATCTTTCTTTCTTACCGCTGCATAGTACTCCATTGTGTATATGTACCACTGCTTTTTTATCCATTCGTCTACTGGTGGACACTTGGGCTGTTTCCAGATCTTAGCTATTGTAAATAGTGCTGCTATGAACATGGGGGTACATATATTCTTCCTGATTGGTGTTTCAGGCTTCTTAGGGTATATTCCCAGCAGTGGGATCACTGGGTCAAATGGAAGTTCAATTTTTAATTTTTTGAGGTAGCACCATATTGTTTTCCATAGTGGCTGCACCAGTTTGCATTCCCACCAGCAGTGTATTAGAGTCCCCTTTTCTCCACACCCTTGCCAACACTTGTTGTTTGATGATTTGTTGATGGTTGTTCTGTTCTTTCATTTGGGACATGTTTCTTTGTCTCATTTTGGCTGTTCTCCTGTCACTGTTTCTTTGTATTTGGTAGAGTTGCTATGTCTCATAGGCTTTGTAGGGTGGCCTATTGTTGTAGGTGTCCTGTAGGATCCAGTGGCACGGCCTCCCTGGTCACCCCAGCTGGGCCCTCAAAGTGCACCCCTAGTGTGGACTGTACACCCTTCAGTTGTAATTGAGTCTTGATTGCTGTTGGCACGTCAATGGGAGGGTTTTACTCAGGCTGATCAGCTGCAAGGACTGGCTGTGCCCACTTACCACTGGCCTCTGACTACCTTGGAGGATCAGCTGTGTAAAGGTCAACCACACAGGGCAAGACTTACTTCAAGCAAGGTTCTGGTACCCACTGAGTCCACTCATTGAGTGTGTCACTTGTGGAGGTGGTGGGTGGTGCTGCTTTGATATGGTCTGAAGCTGTCCACTGAGTGTGCCGGTTCTGGGGCATGGTCAGCCACTGCCTGTGTTCTATCTGGGGCCACCAGGCATAAGCTACAAAATGATCTATATATGGCTGCTTCTTGTGCTGGACTTGGAGGTGCCCAGAAAAAGCCAAGTTGTGAACCAAAGCTGGCCGCTTCTAGTGCCAGGCCTGGGGCCACTTAACAAGAGGTATGGGGCTTGCTGAGAGATTTTAGGAAACTCTGAAGCAGGATTCAAAACAGGACAATCCTACGGTAAAGCCATCAGAATCATCTTGGGTAAGCCAGAAAGTTGGGTGGGGCAGGGTCTCAGGGAATCACCAGGGAGGGGCCAACAGCATGAGACAGGTTGCTGGGGTCCCAGATATGGTTGCTTTCTGCTGCCCAGGGGAAGGGCTCACCAAAGAAACAACAGCCTCTGCCAGCAGTCTGTCTGAGAGAGAGCTGCCTCTCCAGCCTTCTCCTTGAGGGCAAACAGCTCAGTTCCTCCCCATATGCCTCTGGTACCTTTCAGGCTTCCTCTCCTCTGAGTTTAGAGGGAGCAAGTCCAAGT